GGGGGGGGGGGGGGGGGGGGGGAGGGCGAGGTTGGGAGGCGGTTTGTCTGTTGATCGGCGGGGATCGAGCGAAGCGGGTTGTACAGAGACGCGTGCGATTCGATCGATGTGTACGACAAAGAGTTCACGGATTTCACGCGTTCCGTTTGCAGCAGATACACGTGTGTAAGGTTCATATTCTAAAAAGGAGAAATCGATCAAGTTGAGTAGAGATAATATAATTGCAGCCGCGATGCGGATTCAAAGAGGTAGAGATGGTGCAGATGGCGTGTTTGACCTCGCGTGGGTCTCGCGTTAGCATATTGTGCCAAATCAGCGTTTCCTTTTCTGTGCTTTATTTTCTCTCGTCTTTGCTAGGATCATTTTGTGCGGAGCGAATCTCGACGACTCGCAAATCCGCGTGATAATTGTCAGAATCGGCCGAACGAACGAGCGCTCTCTCACTAAGTTCGTTACCTCCTCTATTCACTTTTGCCGCTGCAGCCGCGACTCGTCGCACGATCGGTTGTTTATTTGTAGGATCGAATTGGCGGCGTAATTTATCGAGGAAAAAGTTCGAACTTGTCGTCGGTCGTGCTCAATCATTTTTTTTTTTCTTTTAGCCTAGCGGAACGGAAGGAAAGCGTATGACGCGGCCGGTGCAATAAACAATCTCACTCGGGGACCCATTTCTAGACAGATGGGACAGAGTGATGGTTCTCTTCTTCTTTTTTTTTTTAATGCGTTGCATGGCTGTTTGTCCGAGCAGTTAATCGACGCGTTTACGAAATTTGCATGTTCTTCTTATGCATCTGTAACGATTGACAATTCATTCCGTTTGTGTTGAATTATTTTTATCCGTTTTGTACTTGTATCGCGAAAGTTGATTGAATTTTATCGACGATTCGCAGTCGTACTTCCATCTTTTGTATTGAATTTATACTTTTCTTCTCGCTACTCCAGACTACGAGAGAACAACAACTCGCTGCGAAGACTTTGCGAATTTTGTACTACACACCATTGGAGCAGCGACGGGTTTAACGGTAATAGTAATATGTAAACGTTCCAGCACTCTCCAATTTATCATCCGTGAAACTTCTTTACACTGAGAGATGTAAGTCAACTCAGTTCTTTTTTCTCCTTGAAGCTTTCCCGGTAACACGAGCAGAGGGGTAATCGCTGTAAGAGACTCGTATATACATATACACACGCGTATGTATCTAGTATATTACAGATGTATATGTAATATATTAGATACCTATATAGTTAAGCTTCTTTTTTTACTATGGATGCGATGTACGTATTTATATATATATGTATGTGTATATATATATATATATATATATATATATATATATATATATATATATGCGTTGGTGCGTTAAGCTGATGATGAGTAATGCGGTGATTTGTTATTAGTCGATTGGCTTGAATGTAATACGTTTCGTTTCGACGTTTAATACTCATATATCGTTTCTCGTCTTTATACGTTATATTATTTAAAAAGTTAATCTCTGTGAAGGCGTGGTCAGACGTATATATATTTATATACATGTATATATACATGCGTATATGTATATGCATATGTATATATACATATTAGAATCCCTCCTTTTTAAACGATAATATATACGCGTTCTATCTCAAATATATTTTTCGTACCAAAGAAAACTATATAATTGTGAATAAATTGTTATTGCGCACGTAGAAAGCTAGATAGCACTCAACATAATCAACCAATTACGATAACAATTAGAAATAAAAAATTGTAATTACTGACCGCGTCTGCTAAAATATCGATATCTTGTCAACGGTATAATGCTGACTATTATTTATTGTCGAATTTACTTTTTGATACGATCAGCTTTTATATTGGGCTCGGAAGGACGGTAGGTAGTTAGCGGAAAACCCAACAGTTTCATTTACGAGATGATTGTAACTCTTCTTTCATGAGCGCCAAATATCGAACGTATTCCATTGAAAATATATTTTGTTAAATATCTATATATATACTATATATATTGTATATTAAACATTTTTTATTGTATAATTTGTACAAACGTGTAAGTACTTTCGATCTCTTCGTTGCCGCGAGCGCGCTCGTACTTGTCATCGGCAGTCTCTGTTGTCGACGGGTTCGTGCTACTGATTGTTATACGCGTGTAAAAAACGGAGATATTGGGCAACGAGAAGATCACGCGAAAATCCAGCAAAGGTTCCCACATATCGTTCGTCTCGAACCACAAACGTTCGCGTCGATGAAGAACGCACGCTCGTTAGAGGAGAATCGCTTGAACTTGTTTTCCGACGTCGTATTATAAATGTCGAGTAATCTAAGAGTTGATTTTTTAATCGTGTCAGGACGACGCTCCACCGGCGCTCATGTTTCTCTTCGCTCCGTTCTTAAGTTGCGCTCGAGAGTTTCGAGATCGGCTCGCTCTCTCGGCGAATAATAAAATTCTCGTAAACGTACGACTATAACGAGGAGAGCCGCTCCTCTCTCTCGAGCGCACTCTCTTAGCGCTTTTCCGCTCTTCTGTCTGTCTGTCTGTCGCATTTGTCATACACCGTAACACTGCCAATGTAATATTCCTCCACTTCGTTAAACTTTTACAATCTACTTCGTCTTCAACCCAACTTCGAGACTACTTCGGCCGCGTAAAAAGCCGATCGATCTCTGCGACTGATAACACGCGAACGCGCGAACCATCGATTCCGCAATCTCTTCTTATCTCTTTCTCCAACGAAAATCGCGCACCACTGTTGTTCGCGATCGCGACGGGACCGAGCGCCGTTCGTCTCTTAACTCTTGCTTAAAAAGAAAGGGAAATACTGGAACCGAATTGCACCTGCGCGAATCAAGTCCGCTTTGGACGATTTGTAACGGACGATAGAATTCAAAGTGTGATTCTATTTGTGGGAAAACTCGGGAATCTCAGAATTATATTTATAGAAGAGAGTACATATTCGTATCTATATATATATATATATATATATA